ATATATTATTATAATGTATTGATATATGTCATACAATAATATCAATACTAACAACCTATGGAAAATATCGTTCTGCATAATGAATGATGTTGCGGATCAGATAAAGTTCGTCATGCAAGGCACCAATATATCTATTTCTACAAAATAAAAACAATTACATTCAGCACGAGGTTTGGTCTTTTATGACTCATGAAAATACATGTATCCTCATCTCCGTGCATAGCAGAAATAAGTTATAAATTTTATTTTGTACACAATTCATGGCACTAACAAATATGTTCCTTTTCTAAGTTCATAAAACCTGACCAATTTATAAGGCATTTTTCCCTCCTTCTTACCCTGCCTTTGTGGTGTAATGGTCAGCATGCTCGGCGCGTGTAGAGGTCCGTGGTTCGAGTCCTGACGACAGCATTGCCCCTTTTTTTCTTGTCTCCTGCTTCAAAAATACCTAATGTCTCTAGAGTGGAGCCCGAACAAAAAAAGAACTCGTGGATGATGATTCTCCACCACCAGGATTTGGTGATTGGGTCCTCTAATACCCAGTCGCCCTTTAAAAGGGGGACTATATATGGTATATCTCCCGACTTCTTCTAAGTGTAATGATCAGCACGCTCGGCGCGTATTCGAGAGGCCGGTGGTTTGAATCCCGGCGAGGGCACTGCTCATTTTTCATGTCTTCTTCAAAAATACCTAATGTCTCTACAAATTAGCCAATTGAATAGTCAGACATACAGTAGTTATGATATCTTTGCATTGTCGTTAAGGGACCTAGGAAGCAAATCATGAAGCTTTATATATAATTCTGATAATGGGGTTTAATGGCCGAGATGTTAATTCAACCCAATTGATGGCTGCCCCATTATCGGTGTAAAAGTAAATAAAAAGTGTGTACTTTAGAAACTGTATTTATGGAGGAAAATATTATATTCTCAGTGGTGGGATCTTTATATATAATTAAGAAGAACTTTGTTATAAAGGGTGAAAGGGTTTCTGGTTGCTTCTAACACAAGTAAAAATATTGTAACACATATTCAACGGTATTTTGATGTCATATTTATTCGGTCTCTCATGACACCTCTTACCTGCAACTATTAGTTTGTTGTGTATTGAGAATTTTCTTAATCCTACTTATAAGTTTCATTTTAATGCTATACAAATAACAAAGCTTTGATTCAAAACAAAAATTTCAGCAAAATGCACCGCCTGTAAGGAAGTTTTAAATAAAAGAACGAAAAGTAATTAAAACCTGCAAGAATTACATATTTAGGATCACTGGGACTCAACTTATATAGGTCATCAGACAGAATGATGTGTTGTGAACCGGGCCTCTTAATAGGTCATCAGTTCGGAATTTAGGCAGATATTTTGATTAAAGTTCAATCGAAGAACGGTGGTGCTCTTTAATATTGTTACCTTATTTTCTTCCTTTACTTTACGTTCGTAAGTACGGAGTTCGTGCGGATCTGGAGTGAATAATGACAACAGCACTTGATGGAGTATCGAAACAAACTTTATTGGCCAGTATTCTCAGGACAGCTCCAAAACACGTTTTTACTGTCGTCGAAGAACTACTCAGCGACACAGCCTCTATGTTATCGGACTATAACTGTGGAGACAGCTTTATTGCAAAGTACTAGAGTACAGCTTCCGACTCTGCTCGATCCTTCTCTGAATTCCCCGACCTTAGCTGCCTTCTTTATTTAGGGGTTATATGGTAAACTTGTGAGTATACTTCTTGCTTAAAATACCTTATGTTGTTTTAATTTAAGCAATTCATCAAAGGAGTGAAACAAACTTTTAGTAAAATTTGTTCTCATGCGATTTTGATTTATTTCTCATTGTGTTTGATATACTACTGCAGTCTTTAAATACACAATAAATTCCCAGTCTCTGATTATCTTAGAATTGCTTCAAAAAAGGGCCAGAGAAATCACAAAGGGAACGTTGAATTACTTAATGTGTATCATATAACTTTGTAATGCCAAAATATACCCAGAATTTTAGTATAAATATGAATGGTATGCTATAAATATTTTGCTATATGCTATAAATATTTTATGGTGATTATAATGATTCATTAATGTTTCAGTAAGATTACTGCAGAACAATTATATCGATTGTATTTAATTTGTTATTGTATAAAGTAATCATATCAAGTTGTATTTACATTGATATAATTTAAAAAGTAATCGTTGTCTTGTTAGCATTATGTAAATTGTGTACCTATAAATAAAAATAATGTTTAATTTTATCTTTACATTTTTTATTTTTAACGTATCACGTATAATAAATAATACAGTGTTTCGAATTCTATAAGAGGCGATTAATATAAATACATAACAGGTAAACATTTCATATTGCAAACCTAAGACCTACCTCACGGTATTGTTGAAATTTAACAGAATTGCTGAACGTTCTCGAATTTTCTTTATTTCAAAAACACTCAGTATAATCTCTCTCCCTTTGTATACACACACACACACACACACACACATATATATATATATATATATATAATAATGTTGTATGATCTTAAATCCATTTAGTGCGAATACAAGTTATTACTACTTGCGCAATTGCTGCAAAGTTATATATATATATATAGAGAGAGAGAGAATAGTAAGAAATCTAAAACCTTATCCACAAAGACATAAAATCCCAAACCAGTAAAATCCAAAAACCCCTCAATAAAAATGTAAAAAAAAAAAAAAAATCAACTAAGTGTTTACAAACCCGAAAGAATTCCGAAAACAACAGAAATATAAAAATACATATAATAGGAAGAAGAATACAATTGAAACCTGATTTAACGTTATCAAGAGGAGGTAGCTCACATTCAATTGAATCCCTCTTCCCAAAGAAAACACTTCGTTTCTGTTCATCTAAAATTAGATGATGAACCTTCTTAAATTATTTAATTATAATAGTTCATCCGAAAATTCTAAATGCCTCTCGATGCAGTAGCCCTCCCTTCATATGAAATAAAAATTTACAAAACAAATTTAAATGAAATAATTTAGTGCTTAATAAAGCAAAAATAAAATGTACACTATTAACTAATATTAATTTACGAAATACATTGAAAATTAACAGAGAACAATTTTTTTTTAACTTACCATTGGAAGCACAGAAATAGGACAGCAAATAGTAGACGCTAATGGTTGCTTGTTTGGCACTATTGGCGATACTAATTGGTGTTGGAAAGTCAGGAATCTCCCAGAAGGTGAATTTATAGTAAGTAATTTTTACTTTTAGATTTGGAAAGCATTACAGTAATACAAATAAGAAATGGAAAATGTTAGAAAAGAATAAAGTTTTCATGCCATTGGCTTATCTTGATGACTTAGAATGGAGTAGCTTTCTGTTAATAAAAGAATACTTAAGAAAAAATGTGCTGTAATACATAAATACAAATTACACTATAAAAACCTTCTAAAACATCCTTCTTTATCCTTCTCTTATTTCAGCTTTCAGATAAAAAGTTCATTACTTTAAAAAAATTTATAGGGTGTAAACCACTCCAGCTTATTTTAGAAGACTGTTCATGAAGGTAATTGGAATTTCTTTATTTTCTTGCAAAATTTTCGAAAAAGAATTTCTTGCTGTTGTTGTTCAATTTCTGTGCATACTTTTTAAATTTTGGTAATTTGATTAAAAATTCTATTTACATTAACTTTTTAGACATGTTGGTGTTCAAATTTAGAAGTTTAATTATTGAAAAACTGAATTTTCTTCTTTTATCAGAAAGTTTTACTTCTTTAAGAATATAAATGCTGAAATCCAGAGAATCCAGTAAGGTAAATGTTGCTTATTTCAATAAGATTATTATTGTTAAATGTAAAAATATCACCAATATGTCTGAATGTAAGGGTAGATTTATTGAAATCACCTTCTGAAAGGTTTCTAAGAAACTTACACATTTAGAAAATAAATAAAGATTACATAAGCGTGTTCAATAAGAACTTCCCACTGGAATACCATTTATTTGTAGGTAAAGTATATTTACATGCTTAATAAAGTTATTAAAAAGTGAGAAATAAAGATAATCTTTCCATTTCTATAAATCAATAACAGTATAAGCAATTCAGGATAAAAATTTGGAAGTTTAAGAAGACTTTCAGTGATATATTTAAGTGTAAGAGACTTGCAGAGATTTTTAAAGTCATAACAGTTGATAATGTAAACTTTTAGATTTTTAATTTTTTCTATTATTTGCAAGTTGTTATTAATAATCCAATAGTAGTGCTTATCAGTGTTAGCTTTGTAAAAAATTAAATTACATGTTGAATTAAGCAGTCTTTGAATCATATTATCAAAGTTTTTTCCTATAGTTTCTAGTACTATATGGTATTAATCTAAATCTGGCAGGAGTTTTATGAAATTTTGGAACTGCATATAAATTGGCAAATCTATTGTTTGCATTAAAAAGAGACATTTTCCATTTTTTTTGTGAAAAGAAGAAATTTCGTTGATTATTAAACTTTCTTTATTTTTTGAAATAAATCAGTTATAGAATTTTGCAGCTCCTTTTCAATAAGAGAATTGTAGAACTTTTTTCATATAATATTAAAATTATTGCTTGCCTTATCAATTTTGATAATAATAAATTGTTTTTGCAATTGCGAACTTCTGAAATAAATCTTTCCAATTTTTAATTCTTTTAAATTCTTGAACTTTATCAATATTCGTTTGTGCAAAATCTGTATTAATCTAATGTTTATGTTATCGGTTGCTCTTCTAGTTAGCAAAAGATTTGTTAGTTATATTTTTCTGGAGGCAAAAAATTTACAACTCTTCGTATGCGGACGTCTCTAAGTCCCGCTCTTAGGTAAGTACTTCGTAATATCTGATTTTAATTCCTCATTCTTCACTTACTCTATTTGTTTTCCCAGGATACTCCAAACAAAACTATTTTATCAATTAATGAACGATTTCAAAATCATTAAATTAGATAATAAATCTTCTAAAAAAACTGCAAGAAGTGAAACTAGGCGCCAAAGCACTATTTTATAATAGTTATTTTAATGAATTTTAGCTTTGGTACATGTGATCAGGTTTTTATGATTAAGATATTATTGTCTTAATATTAACAAAGCATGTTAAGACTATTTACATAACATCCTTCCATAAATCAGGTATGTCAGTTCCTGCAGTTCTTTCACTAAATTTCTTTTCTAATCTAGCATTTTGTTCTGGAGAAAAGTAATTCCGCCAATCTCCAACAATACCTGTATCGAAGAAATAAGAATATATTTTTATTAAATTCATACTGTTAAGAGATGCTTTTATAATATCATGAAAATAAATTCACAGGTATTTTACTTTTTTCTAGTTAAATTATTTTCATTCGCTCCAAAAGAACTTAACTTTTCTTAAATTCAGTTTTTAGGCTTTATTTAAGCTTTAATAAACTATTGAGAATAGTATCGTATATTTGTGTTAACATAAATTTTATGATTTTGTAACAACCGCGTTGGAAATTATCAGCATAACACTTAGGTCATTCGAATATATGATATCATATAGCGAATAGGTGATAGCGAGTCTTTTTGCTCAATATTACTTGAAATTACAAATGCACTTGCATAATACCACAGTTTATGATTAGTTTTACAGCAAATTAATACTACCGGTAAAGAATGAGTAGATAAGCTAAAGATATATTTATTATTTACTGTTACTTATTTACTGTTTTTGAACCCAAATACATCTTAATCCGAGATGGTGCAAATGTTTATGACGCATTCGAAACCCCCCGCCTCTCGTAATTTTTTCAAAAAACTCTTTTTAGGGCTTCAATTGCCTTTCAAAATCCTTTAATCCTATTACATTTTAGGGTTGCTAAAAAATACACGCACGATGATACTGCACATAATCTATTTTATAACTGTGTCATACATATTTTTTATCTTGACGCAAGCAATCTTGGAAGATATCGGAAACACATGACCTGCCTTTATTCTAATTAAGCTTCTCTTGATATATCCATATCATCATCAATATTTATGCTGCCGTTGGAAAATAATATTTCAAATGACATGCACAATTAAAATAATTACAGGAGCATTAGTGCTGAATCAGAACACTTTGTTGAAACATTTTATGTTTCAACAAAGATATGAACTTTGTCGATATGAAAGCAAAGTGGGTAACAAATCGTTATTAATAAACTTTATAATCGTTGTTAATAGTTTATTTCTCAAAGCAAGTCGCAAATGTAGTAACTAAACGGCTATTGTCCATGTTATTGAATGGATTTTGTTCAGCTGGAGGTACTGCAGACCCAGGCTATATAAGATTAGGATTTAATTTCTAAAATAAAAAGTGCTACAGCACTAATGAATCATAATCAATAATACCATTAAAATAAGTAAAATGCATAAGATAAAAAAACGTATTCATAAAAATACTGAATTTTAAAAAATAAAATTTCATATTAAAATATATAAAAGTAAGACGAATAAAGTAACAATGAAATATGATTCTAAGGACTTACATAATGCATATATTTTTTAATATCATTTCGTTTATTTAAATGTAGTGCAATGCATACGTTTCATCTGAAACTTTTATTACCAATGTTTCTTCCGATACTAATTAAAAGCGAATTTTAGCCGAAGGTCTTTATTCTTTCTTTCTTTCTTTTTTTTTTTTTTTTTTTTTTTTTTTTTTTTTTTTTTTTTTCAGAGCACAAATTAGAGAGATCAAAACTGCAGAGTTAATAAATATATTTATTGACTAAAAAGTAAATGTCCTTTACTGTCAGACTTGACATCTTACTTAATTCTGAGTTGTTTCTTCATCGAATTTGTTTCATATGTTTGATAACATGACATTTAAAATGTCGTTAAGTTGTCAAGTGTTTCTATTAAATATGCTTCTTTATAAAGACAAACACGAAGAACTTTATGCTATATACCATTTCGTCTGCTATTATATTTGTAGAGTCTCGCTCTTTTTGGTAATATACACTAAGTTGAGACTCTAAATAAAACCAAGCCACTTATGGCTATGTCTAGTTAAGCAAACAGAGATGTAAGAAAGATGCAAAAAACCCTTTTATTAAGAACTTAGTTGAACAGAAGGCACCTCTGGTGTTTACAAACCAACAAGTAGTTATGGCGCAAAATCAAAAAAGTAGAATTTAAAATTAAACTAAATCCTAAATCTTTAATTAATCAAAAACTACGCAGAAATATTTAACATGCAAGTTGGCTCAAACCAACACCAGCGTGACAGCACTATTTACAAGACGCAGAGAAGACTACTATCGTAGAATATCAATTAGTAACATGATCTTCAATAGACGGAACTCGCTCTGACCTAAGCAATTTCAAATTCTCACTTTAATATGCGCGAGCTAAAATTTGCATTCCGGCAGGAAAAGAAAAGATAAAAATGACAGAGAAGTTTCGGAACGTAAAATAACTGGTTAATTAATATAAATAAATACCTTACAAATTATTCAAGCAGGAGGAAAGATGCACTAGGGTTTATTTGAAAGTTTCATTGTGCCCACATAAATTAGAATTTCTCTGTTTGGGAAGAAGTGCCAGTATCATGTTCTAGTCCAGGGTTTCTTAAACTGTGGGTCGTGGGACCTGCAGAAGGGGGTCGCCAAAAATTTTAGCAGTTTTAATATTTCTTTAAATTATTATAATAATTTTACAATTACCAAATATTTTTACACAATGTATCTGAAAATATATAAAGATAAGACAATACAGACAAAGGAAAAAACGAAAACGTTTCGACGCATTCTTTTTATAATATAAACATCATTTTCCTCGCTTTGCACGTGACGCTGTCATTTCGTCTGTTACTTCTTTAAAAGTTTTCACATTTTCTGTGTCTTAAGGTTAGAAATTAAAGTTAATGGCCTAAAACTGCAATAGTATATTACAGTACAAGTGAAAAAATTGACAGCTTCACTCACGCCTGTGTCTGAGTTGCGCAGTACTTATGGGGTCCCACAAAATTTTTGTAAATATTATGGGGTCCTGGGGGTCGCGAAAAATTCTCAGTGATTAAAAAGGGGTCGCGACTGAAAAATGTTTAAGAAACCCTGCTCTAGTCAAAAAAAAAAAAAAAAAAAAAAAAAAAAAGAAACTCAGCGTGTGCAAAATGGGAATTTAGGAATGTTACAAATAGCTACTTGTGTACGTGAATCCTTCTCAATGTGCGAAGATTGGAGGGAGTAAAAGGAAGAAGACTTGGTCAAATATTTTTTATAAATGAGGACAGTTGGGGAGCGTTAGAAACCAATAGCATGAGAGGATTATTGTAAATGTAAAATATAAGCCTCAGATAATTTTGTTTTTAAATTCGTTTAATACTTATTATTTAACATATAAAATATTCAGTAGTTGCATTTAAATAATGAGTTGTAGAAGAGACTCACCTTTTCGTACGAACTGAACACCTACAGGATCAAGCTTGAAAACATTTCCTTCAGCCGAAAATAAGTGCCTTATTCCTGGCGGTATGTCAGGATTATTTCTAATCTGATCTTTGGGCATGGAGGCAAGTTCTGCAAAACTTTTGTTAAGGCTTTCCTTCATGAAATTAAAACTGCTATGATTGATAACATCCTGAAGCACTTTTTCATTGTTTTCCAATGATTCCTACGAATTGTATATAAAAAGAAACTCAGAAATGCATTTACATCTTAAGCAAGCAAAGTTGTGTAAAATAATGTAAATGCTTATTACTCAAGACTTCATTATACTACAGTAGAAGTCAAATTGAGGTACTAATATGGAATCTGAATAATTGAAACTACAACCTCTTATTATTTTTCATTACTTAACTAAGTTATTTAAGTTCTAACTAAGTTATTTAAGTTAACTAAGTTCATTGCTTAACTAAGTTATTTAAATACTGCCTATTTAGGACTAGCCTTTTTTAGCAGTATAAGAATAAAGCAACGTCGACAGTTTCTTATTTGAGATTATTTGAAGACTGCATCGAAGCAGTAATCATTTAAAACCTAATGCCAAAATCTGAAAATTTCTCACGAATTTACAACATATCAATTTATTTAGTTTAATTCTCTGTATCGAATACATATAATTATATGTAATCTTAATGATTAAAACCAGTGATGCTACATTTTGCTATTTTAAGTTAATTAGAGACGAATTATCATGTTCGCTAATGAGCGAAAGGTAGAAAGCAAAAGACTGAAATTTGCTATCATTATCCTCATCCAAAATGATTTCTAAGATCTTTTTGGAATGCTGTAAAGAGATATAAAATTATATGTACAATTTTATGATGCGTCTTTGGCAGCTTGTAAATGATAAACCATGAATTCTTTGATTTTATAAAAGGCAAAATGATACACTTTTTAAAAATAACTACTGAAAGTAAAATCGGAAATATTTGTGAATCAGTTTTACACAGATTGCTTTTAATTTTAAGCATAACATAACTTTAGCGCCAATTTTCCATTTAATTGATCTATGGCTTTAATTAATTAATAGTTTATCTATACCAAGCTTTAGTTCAGAGCAATAAGCCATCTTCAGCTTTGGGTTTAATTCTTTTTAGAAAGTTTTAGTTTTCTTTATGGCAATTCAGTTGAATCGTAATGCAATAATGATTTTGTTCTATAATTAACACTTACTTATTTACGTAATACCAGATTTATACTTTTCAAATAAAATCCTAATTAACAATTAATTCAGTAAATAATCCTAAAATAGTAATTAATAAATAATGCTATTTATGCAATTTTGAAATTTATTTTTAAAATTTCTATAAAAACATTTCTATAATTATATATTTGGTGAAATTTTCTTTCTTATAAATAACTGTTCTACCTGTTTTTATTTCGTATTGTTCAACAATTATTTTTCAGTTGCACTTTCATATTTGTAAAACTGATGGTAGCTTTTTTGATCAAGAGTTTTTCTTAAACTTTTTAAACCTTAATTTTAATGTAATACATTTATCAATCATATCTGTGTAAATTGCTAATTTCTTAGCTCATTTACAACGAAAAGCTCTAAAAAGAAAAAAATTAGTGGGTACTATTGCCGCATTCACTCATAAAAATGAAGTATTTATTAATGTTTCCTCCGTTTTTCTATAAAGTCCTTATAGTGCTTGGTTTTTAAATAGTTTTAAAATTTCTCAAAGTGTGACCATTATCTCACATACAGATAAATAATAAGTCTAACTCCTAAATAATCTGTAAGAAGCCCATAGTTCACAGACATCTTTAAAGTAATAAAATCCTAAAAGTTTGAATAACTTTTCTCCTGAAGAACTTTTCATTAGTCAGTTAATTAATCAGTTAATTCCTTAATTCACTTATTAATTAATTAATTAATCAGTGAACTCATCACTCACTTCAGGAGTAATAAGTTCACTAATTACCTAGTCTTATTTTTGCCATTAAACACTACCAATAAAAACGGCAAATAAACTCATTGAATGATTTATTGATGAAAGTGCGAATAGTTCCACTACAAATATAACTAGTGAAAGTAATAAATGAGTTGGATTATTGATAAAGTAGCGAATGGTTCCATTATCAGTACTATCCTTAAAGGTGATAAACGATTCCCTGACTGACGTATTGAAAGTTGTAAATGTAGTTGAATGAATTTCGATGTTACTACTTTCAACCTACGTAACAACTAAACGTACAGCCAGAGAGTGAGAAAATTGTTTTCAAAACAACTTAAAGAACTTCCACTTAATTTTATGAATTTCTAAAAGAATTAAAACGGTATTTTAAAAGTAGGAATGCGAAAGAAAATTTTGCAAATCAATTCAAGCGTCGGATTATTATTACACATTACAAGATATTAAACATTAGCACAAAAAACATTAAACTTTCTTAACTTTCACTAATGCTTGAGATCGTGTTCATATAGAATAAACATATACTGCTTGAACGAAGCACGAATTAGAACACTTATATGTAAACGAAGCCATATTATTCAGTGATTAAAATGTTTTGAGATGAAACTGTAACGCAATTAATATAAATGCTAACTTAAGTATTATATATCTAAAACATGCTTTCATATTCTATAAAGTTTAAAACATAAAATAAATCTGTAAACGTAAATTGTATTCCATCATTAGGGTATATTTTATTTCTGAAGTATTATCAATCAGTGTGTGACCAGAATTGCTCAAGTGGTTTTTATTTATAAACAGTCTTAATAAAAAACATATATGAATAATTTTTAATAGCTTCGATGTTGCATAATTTCAAACCTTATACTGTGGTCCCATGAATTCCGAAATTTTGAGAATATTCTTCTTTGCGTCTTTCTTGAGCTCTTCATAAGTAATGAACAAAACGTTAGGATCATTTCTGTGTTCATACCAGGACACCAGTGTATCAAAGTAGTCTCCAAAATCCGTTTTCCCTTCAATGAAGATTTCAAAGAAGTCGTCAAAACTTCCTCTTTCAAAGCGATATCCGACTATATTTTCTGTATGATGGTAGAAGGATACACAACAATCCTGTGGTAAGGAAAAAGAAAGATTAATTAAATATGGCAAGGAACACGAAGACTGTATGCCTAAGAAGGAGACTGATGTCTTCGCTGGGGGCTTTCTAAGAAAATAGTTGGTTTGTATTCACTTTACAAAAAAAGGAAAACCACGAAAGCTAACCATTCAACGAATCCATTTGCTCGAAATCGAAAGCGAGTCAAATTTCCAGTATTCAGCAGTCTGTACAACTCGATTAGTTGTGAGGCTGCAGAAAAAGAGGAATTAGTATTAGAGCATTTGCTAAATTATTACTGCCTAGTCAAAATAATCACAAGGGGAAAATAACATAGAATGTATTGTGATTAATGTATTAAATTATACAGTAATATTTTCTGAAGAACAATGTCAATTAATGTGCACTTATCCATCTTTTCTGATTTTCAAAAGATCTACTTATAAAATAAACTTTTACTCCATTTGAAAAGTTTTGTCTAACTTTAAAAATTCTTTACAATTTTCAAATATGAAGACCTATTTTCTGAAAGTTGGAAAGAGCGCCGAAACTTTATTCTCTCTTTCCTGTCAAACTTTGAATAGACAGACTTTTCTTACGGCACCAGTCTCTGTACAGTACCCGTTCCTTAAATTCACTTCTATTCTCAAAAAAAAAAAAAAAAAAAAAAAAAAAAAATCGAGTTTATTTAGCCGTTAAGTTTTAAAAAACAGCGATTTTTGTATCGCAAATCGTAATACCAGATTTATACTTTTCAAATAAAATCATAATTAACAATTAATTCAGTAAGTAATCCTAATTCAGAAGTCAAACAACAAAAAATTTGTTAATTCAGAAGTCAAACAACAAAAATCAGCGTTAATTTACAAAATTTTCACAGGACTAGTTTCGATGGTTTTACCGAACCATCATCTTCAGCTGCAAAACCGCAAATGAATGACTTCTGAATTAGTATTTATTCGGCGTGTTATTGTGTCTTAATTAAAAAATTTGTTGTTTGACTTCTGAATCAGTATTTATTCGGCGTGTTATTGTTTCTTAAGTAATCCTAAATTAGTAATTAATAATTATGCATTTATGCATTTTGAAATTTATTTTTAAAATTTATAAAATATTTCTATAATTATGTTTGATGAATTTTTCTTTCTATAAATAACTGTTCTCTGTTTTTATGTCGTATTGTTCAACAATTATTTTTCATTTGTACTTTTATTTTTGTAAAATTGCTGTTAGCTTTTATGATCAAGAGTTTTTCTTAAAATTTGCATTGATTTTTTATATTCGATTGATACTGGCATATCACAACGTATACAAGATGACTTTTTTATTTTACAGCTTAAAACCATTTTAGAAAAGCAGTTTCAACGTCTTTCAATTTTCTATCATTTTTGCGCTTAATTGAGATATTTATATTTTTATTAGTTCTTCATTAACTATAATTCCTCGTTTAAGTAAATTACACAAAACTGTTTAGCAAATTCTCATTGAAAATGTATTTTTTTTCTCTGGATGCAATTGCCAAGAACATCAAAACCTTTCAACAATTTATTCTTTTATCTCAGATTTAAGTCTTCTTGTTTCATGCTTTCGACATGTTATAAGTTAAACCCGTAACAAATTAAAGAAAAATGCTTATTCCAGAGATTTCGTGAATTTAAAAAATCGCGTTTCTAGCCACAAGAAATATTGCCCTTTGTCTGTTTAGACAATCTGATACTTCATATTTACAAGCATGACCAATGATTTCCTTGCTTTTTCTTCAGCTTACAGTTATCAGGCTCTTAACATTCACAGATTGGTAACGTGCAATGCAAAGAAGCATTTAATGAACTTTTTGTAACTCTCCGTGAACAAAATGTGTCTATTCCTATAAGGCATTTCTCCTTCTTTCCTAGCGTGCCTTCGTGGTGTAAAGGTTCTGCATGTTGGGCCGGTATTCCAGAGGTCCGTTGTTCGATTCCCGGCGAAGGCGAAGGCGATGGGTCACCTAATGCCCCCAGTCGCCCTTTAAAAGGGGGAGTATGTACGGTATTTCTCCTGCCTTCCTAGCGTGCCTTCGTGATGTAGTGGTTCTTCAAACTGGGCCGGTATTCCAGAGGCCCGTTGTTCGATTCCCGGCGAAGGCGGTTGCTAATTTTTCATCTCTCTGGCTTTAGCAATTAATCTAATGTCTCTACAGTGGGCGCCCGAACTAAAAGGGTGTTGGATGAGGATTCTCCAGACGCATGATTTGGCGACTGTGTCCCCTGAAAGCTCCAGTCGCTCTTTGAAGGGGAAGTATGTAAGGTGTTTCTCTCGCCATCCTGGCGTGTCTTCGGGATGTACTGGTTCTGCACGCTGTGCCGGTATCCAGAGGTCAGCGGTTCGATTTCCGGCGAAGGCGTTTGCTCATTTTTCAACTCTCCTGTTTTTCCAATTAACCTAATGTCTCTACATCTCAAAGGGAAGATTTTTAGAGTCGAAATCTTAAAAATTTGAATGCAAAATTTGTACTTCCACCTCTTCTCACTTAGTATTCGAGAAAGAACTTTCACTGATTTATAATGCCTCTAAATCAGCGGTTCTCAACCTTTTGCCTACGTCGTACCATCTAAACAAAAACTGAAAACTTTAATATCGCCACTATATTTTACAACAATTATTTTTCAGTTTCTCAGTACAAGTATTAAAAAATATACATTTTGCCATCTGCACAACCTATTGGCTATTTGTATTAAACATACACACATAAAAATCATTAGATTAAAATTTGGTTACCAATTTATTTATGAAAATTTAAGCTATAATACTTTAGTTCCAAAACTTTGTATAAAATTTATTTCTGTTATTTTCCCTGCGAAGTTCATTTAAGGACCTCTCACTTTCTTCACGCCCTTCGGGGACTAAGTAGCTGGAAAGAACTGTTTTATAATAGTAGTGCTAGTACATTTACCTGTATCTATCACCAGTGAATTATCCTTTTTCCTCTTAGTCAATCCTGGTCATTTCTCCAATTTGAAAATTGAGCTTTGTTTTATTATTTTTTCACAAATATTCAGATGCACAATATATTACGAGTTCTTCAAAAACAAACGACGATATTCTCAAAATGCGTAAGAAAATAAGGAATACAAAGCAACAAGAAGATAAAATAACCGCTATTAGAGACAGGAAATCGACGTAAAATGATTCTAATTAAAAATAGAGCAATACGACTTCGGAATTGGTGGCGATGTAAAGTGTAGACATACTAAAAAAACAATCAACTCTAAAAGAATTAATAAAATACTACTATATTTTTATAGGAACTTATTTTTATTTCCTGTTAAATACAACATCCATTTCTATTATCCTTTCTAAAATATAATTTATGATAAATTTTGTTATGTCTATGCTAAAAGATTACTTGTAAAAATAGAAGCGGGAATTGACTTTGAACAACACTCAGATAGCATAAATTTACGAGTGTTAGAGAAAACCTTAAACAAGTTGTTCGGGTGTTTAATTTTTGAGTTTAACAGTTAAAAATTACTTTGTTTATTTTCGTAGGACTTATTTTTCTCTTGCGTACCACCAGTGGTACGCATACCATCGATTGGGGGATCGCTGCTCTAGAGGACTGCTTTTGTAACCTTCAGATTAGAAAATTCTCCTCCTTTGAAGTCCAGTGCTTTCACAGAACTGTGATAATAATATCTCACAGGTACAGGGACCGAGGGTAGGAAAATTTCGGTCACATGCATTTTGTTGAAGCAATCCATACCTAAACTATAAAGCAACGGTCTACCGCAAATTGAATAGATGAATTATGATAAGTTTTGATAGGTGAAAATTTATATTCTGGCACTGAATAATCAGTCTTTTGACAGTCTGAGTTTAATAAGCGGAGTAGGTGATTTTCATAAAAGAAGTTGATTATTATGTAATTGTTTTGGCTTCTGGAAATTAGAAAGTAATAAGCAGTTGAGTGAGTTTAATAAATGTCGGACAGTGTACATTATTCACAGGTACCCATTTTCTAGCGCAGTTATGTATGTGACTTCTGCTCAGTCGAAGAATGTACCATTTAGAGATGTTACCGTCGTCACCATCACAATCACCATCACATATTTTCATTATTTCTTTCTCAATTTGAGTCAGTGTCCGCTTAGGTCATTACAACACAATAAAGATCTCTGTTCTTCAGCTTTAGACGCTACTAATGAAGGAAATATTTTGTGGTTTTTGGTTATATTTTAGTTTTGGTTATGAATTGGTTTTATTTTTGGTTACTAAATAATTGTGATCGTGATAACCCAACGACATCGATCAGACAAGCTTCAGAACAGGTCGAAATCAGTCGGGACACTTTGCGAGAAATTATTGTTCAAGACCTGCAGCTCTTTTCGTACAAAATTCAAATTCATCAGCCACTGCGTGCCATTACCATTGAACAGAGATTGTGTTTCTAAAGCACTATTGTCGATCATATCGACAAACAAGAATTTGATCTGCATATGGTTTGGTTTAGCGGCGAAGCTCACTTTCATTTGGATGGGCATGTCAATAAGTAGAAGTGCTGCATTCGGGGGACGGAATCCCGATCGAGAAGTCTCTCCACCCCAAACGGATAATTGTTTAATGTGCAAAGTCAAGTCACAGAATAATCGGGGCGCTATTTAGTGCTCAGGCACGATGACTGCTGAACGTTATGTAAAAATATTAGAAGATGATGTCATCCCTTTTGCAGGATGGAGCACGATCCCGTCGGACAAATGGAGTGTTTCAAGTTCTGGAAAAGCACTTTGGAAAGCGCATTTTCTGGCTCTGGGGTGTACAAAGGCCCCAGAATGGAATGGGAATCGCTTGGCCGCCATATTCTCCTGATTCGACCCTTGTGACTCGCTTGTGTGGAGCAATATTAGATCCAAATTTACGCAAATAACCCCAAAATTATCGCTAAGCTCAAAACAGCCACTTAGGATATCATCGACATCTCTACACGTCCGTGAGGTTTGCAGGATTTCTCTCTTCGTCTGCCCCTTAATTCGTATGCCTTCGAATTGTGATAAATCTTGACTTTCAATTTTTTATTTAAAAAGAAAATAATTGAAATGCTGATCTTTCCATATTAAGTTGGTTTTTATTAGAAGCAGAAACGCATTCAAAGAGTAGAACATTTTACAAGATTCTTAACGCATTAGTATACATTAATGTTCTGAATGTAATTCAAAATTTTCTGTTAAAGCTGCAATATGTTCATAGTAAAACTGCAGTTTTGTTACTGAGGCTTCTACTGAGCACTAAAGTTTTGAAACAGAAATACTTACTTTAGGATTCCTTGCCACGAAAATGTATTTTGCTTCATCAGACCACGGTGTTAAATGAAAAGGTAGATGCACTTTAAGGGCTCCTGGTCTTGGCATAGTTTCAGCAGCTTCTGCCCCCGTCATTTCCAGAAAAGGTGTGTGACTGAAGAATTCCAGAGCAGACCCAAAAGGTTGACCATTCCTATATATACAGGCTACTATATTCTGAACCCATGTCGTTCCACATTTCGGATATGTCGCAATGATCAGATCATCTGGTCGAGGTTTATATGCTAAAGCTGATCGAAATGCCTCCACGGAAAACATTCCAGGAATGCGAAATCCATCCACATCCTGGTAAAATGGAACTTTTCGATTCGACTGAAGTTTGTTATCCTTTCCGTCAGCAGCCATGTCTCTAAAAATATAACTCAAAATAAAATTTAAGTACTTTTCCCGAAAAAATAATAAGCTAACTAAGAAGGTCTCTGAAATGCTGAAAATAAGATCTAACCAAATACTGTATCTGACAAGAACCTACAGGCTTTTAGAAATAATGAGAATGTTTTTAGCAATATTATATGAATAATAAAGAAACTAACTTCGCCATACGATTACGAATTGGAAGAATAAATTACTTAAAGTTAGTTCTATTAATCAATTTTATAAATACTTAAAGCTGGATTCAAGTGTAGCACAACTTCCTCAAATAGGGATGATAGTTTTTGATTTTTCCCCGCTATTTGTAACGCCGTAAAAGTAAAAAACAGGCGTAATCTTTTATGTAGCCGCAAAACAGTCTCATAGACCTATTTGGTTTATTTATTATGCCAAAGCAAACAAGAACTCTGTGCCTAAGAGAAGGGATGACTCTTTGGAGGACTTTCTAAGAGCCAATTGCACGTATACGCGTCACAAAGGGGGAAACCACGAGAACGCTCATGCAGCTAACCCGCTCTGCGGGATTCAAACCTCTAATCGAACTGCTAATGTTTAGCTACGTTACCGTTCTTCAGCCTCGTAGACTTGCACCAGATGATTTAATTGGTGATTTCCGAAAAGAGGTCTCACTTTTTCCAGGTTCTCTTTGGAAGATTTTAAATACTTAATATCGCGTAAAAAACTTACATATTTCATCAAACGATAAAAATTTGGTTCAGATATCTGTCTTCTTTTTTTACAACAACTTACGGAAATAAGTGTTTGCATCTTTAGCAAATAGTCTGCTAATAAAATGAATTACTGAAATTGCATTATAAACATTCGTAAAATAATATATTACTCATTGAAACATCAGCATTTTCAGTAACAATAGAAAAGTATGCATTGCTTCAAAATTTATAAAAATTATTACTTTATAATAAAGGATATGAAATTGATGTGAGTCATATAACAGGTAACGTCAAATGTTTCAAACTCTGAAACTTCAAGATTTTTGATTTAGAAACTGTGTTCTAAAAATATGCAGCATGATTTTTTATCGTGAATATATTTTCGCTCCTATGCACAAGATATGCTTCTGGCTTGTAGCGTTACAGATACCAAGGTTTTGGAGCTTCGATATATTTTTGGTAGAGTTTCGGATATCAAATTTGATAATTACATTTATGAAAACATACATGCAGAGTAATTCGTTATTCTTACTAGTATTTCATTATTCTTACTAGCTATTACTAGCTATTCTATAAGCTCTCACATATCGTATGAATTACATTCTACATAAAAACATATCCTAAGGAGTTTAAGTACTATCAGAAACAAGACTAATTCATTAAAAATATTTTCAAGCGTACATATAAAAAAGAAAAAAATATATCTGTAGAAAAATTTATAAAGAACTGTTGTACTAGAAATTTCACTAATGTATTTAAATTGTCCATATATTAATTCTTAAATAATTGTTTTCCAAGTTCTGGGTTTACTGATTGGATAATGTAATTGAATGACTCAAGCGACGTTGCAGTTTTATGAAAAGAAAACAGAATATTATCATCATCTATAAATTCATAAGAACATCAAACAATAAAATAAAATTAGTGTTTTTCATTCCTTATTACTCAGTTTTCTACGAAATATATTAACTTTAGTATAAAAAAATCGTATCAATCTACTTGTGGTCTTAATCAGAGCATTTTAGTCATTTAGTTTTAGATACAATGTGATTTCTTGACGAATTTATACAAGAAAAAATGTAAAAAACTTTCATTTAAAAGATTAGTAATTAGAATATAGATAAAATATAAAATAATGAGTAACACTCACTTTATTTCTAGAACAGTAATTCTAAAAGAACGAGAAATAGCTGATTTTTAGTTAATACGTAGATATAATCTGTTTAGAAGTTTATCTTATTTGATAAGTTTTCACAGATAACATTGTTTTGAAAGCAAAGTCAATTCAGTCTGTGTAATTGTTTTCAGATGGAAAAAAACCCTTTATATGTAACCTCTAATACTGCTTTTAATTTATAAAGAAAACTCTACGGAATGGACTCTAAATGAATTTTAAAAAATTCCTCAGAGTGATAAACAGCATGATATACAAAGCGGTTTTTAAATCTTTCTCTTAAAATCCACTCCAACATTTAATTACGAGTTTCAGGTAATATTATGTTTAAATTTATAATCCTTTTTCAGACTATATGATTGTTACTTAGATAGTCGAAAAAGGTAACAGACTGTTCGAATATAAATCGAAAATGCTCAAAATCCCTATTTTTCTATTTCCCAACAACTACTTTATTTAGAAAATAAAGAAAAATTATAATGTTACCATACTTCATTTAGCTACAAATAACTTTTTAACTATTGTATTTTTCTTCGAACTATGTACTTAATGGAAGCGATTTCCTATGAATAGGGATGAAGTGATAAGAAACTTCATATGTAACTTTATTTAGACCAGTATTTCCCAACCTTTTTTGTGCTCTGCCCCACCTAATCCTCTCTAAAATTCTTATGTTTCCCCTAGCATATACACAGTTTTTAATATTCAAAAATTGAAATGTTCACAAAAGAAACTTGAATAACAGGTTTTAGGGATAAATATCTAAGCATTTAAATGTGCATGTCTACAGCGAAAATATTTCATAAAATATTTAAAATGAACCGCAATTTAAAAACTTTTTTACGTATCTTAATAAAAATATCTTAATAAAAATATCTTAATACTCTTACGTTGCTTAATTCTCTTACATTATTCTTTATTTTTGAGAATAAAAAATAAAATTTCGAAAAATTTCGACTTCTTGAAGAAAATTTGGAAATTTGAATGTTTCTTGTCCCCTTAAACTCTGGCCGAGTACATTTTCGATTTGCCCCCCCCCCTCGTGGGGCGTAGGCCTTACGTTGGGAAATACTGATTTAGACACTCATAGTAAATTTCAATCAAGTGGTACTGCCTAACATACTATTCTGTACAATAAAGGAATTCCATAAATATCACTGAAGTTTTTATTTAACATTTTTTGCATTTTCATGATGTGAATTCCTGACAAAAATCATTCTGCAGTGTGAATCATTCTGTGTGTTTATCTTCTGTGTTCATCAAATTAATAGTTTATTTAGATTCTGTTCTGTGAGTTTTATTTAACAAGTTCTTTATTAAAAATTGCACCCATGTCCCATAAACTGTTTATCAACAGATAGTTATTATTTATAAGGTATTTCTCCCGCCTTCCTAGCGTGCCTTCGTGGTGTAGTGGTTCTGCACACTGGGTTGGTATTCCAGTGGTCCGTGGTTCGATTCCCGGCGAAGGCGATTGCTATATCTTTCATCTTTTCTGCTTCTAAAAATATTCTAATGTCTCTACAGTAGCGCCCGAACTAAAAGGGTTGTGGATGATGACTCTACACACCCAGGATTTGTCGAGTGGGTGCCCTAAAAACTCCCGTTACCCTTTAAATGGGGGAGTATATAAGGTATTTCTCCCGCCTTCCTAGCGTGCCTTGGTGGTGTAGTGGTTCTGCATGCTGGGCCAGTATTTCAGAGGTCCGTGGTTCGATTCCTGGCGAAGGCGATTGCTCAATTTTCATCTTTCCTGCTTCTAAAAAAATCGTAATGTCTCTACAGTTTATCATACAATTTTTTATAATTTGCTTTTCTTTCCGTATTATACTTATGCAAAAGCAGATGAACTTTAGGTTTAAACATCTTTTTTTTTTTTTTTTTTTTTTTTTTTTTTTTTTACTTCAGATCCTTAGCTCCAGGAGATATTCTCAATCGCGATGTAATCGTTCTTCGAAGTCGGTGGATTCTCTTTCAGGTTAGGTTTTTGAATATTGAAAAGGCACGAAAGCTATCTGACTAAGAAGGATACCTTCGTGGAATTGAAATGTTATCTGAGAACAATTGGCTGGTCCCGTTACACATGGGGAAAAACCACAAAAACAAACTATGCAGCTAACCCGTTCGCCTGGATTCGAACCTAAACTAGGTGGAACCACCAGTCAGCGATCTTAATCACTCGGCCACCGGTGGGGCAAGTTTTCTTTCAGAATCAAAGTTTACAATTTGTTGAGAAGAATATTTTTCTTCGGAAAGTGTATTTACACATCTTTCGCAAGCCATCTATCAATCTAGGAGCCACTTCCGAAATAAATCTTTGTTCTACATTCTAATCAAAGCAGACAATAATATTGAAAAATGTTAAATTTTTATCTCGAAATGGTAACGAGAAAATTTAAATACAATTTTGTTTCCAATTGTGTTACACTAGTGTGAACAATCTTCTGTATTGAAACGAAACATAGAATTTAAACATTTAATTAAAAAGCGGTTTTTAGCTATAAAGAATGCCATAAATACAGTTAATATTTTATGGATCTATTTTATTTCCGAATTACAGAAATGGTCTGTTTTACTCAGTTTTTCAACTTAAGGGGGCTCATACTATCAGGTTCAATGTTCCTTCTAACCTTCTTCGGGAACATACAAGGACCTGACTCGGAACAGAGAGCTTACTAAAGCTATGTTCACTAATTGTGGTAAGTAGACAGGATACAGACGAAGGGTATACAAAACCCTTTATTTTTCTCTATATACAATAACTTCCGTACTTCGGAATACACTGACCCTCCACTCGGGGTCTAACGTAAAAAAGTATAAAAATAAAACTAAACTCTAATTTAACTTTAGAATAATACACGTGGAAGATTGGCCTTATAATAACAGGAAGCGTATGTAGCACAGAGACTGTGAACACTACAATACGTTTAATTTATCAAGAGGATTAAAACCTCTGGCCTGGAAGGCAACAGCAACTGCGTAACTTCTAAGGTAAGCGGCCTGCTTCGAACTCACTGCTTCCTCTCTTTTGCTTGGCAAAAAGGCCACACTTAAATACTTGGCGTTCGCCAGACAAACTTTGCATAAAAACCTTCACGCTTATAATTCTGGCCGGAAGTAGAAAATAAGAAG